CTCCCACCAGCAATGCAGGAGTGATCCCTTTACCCCACAACCTCTCCAGCATAAGTTGTCATCAGTGTTTTTGAACTTGGCCATTCTTACAGGTGTAAGATGGAATCTCAGAGTTGTTTTGATTTGCATTTCTCTGATGACTAAGGACATTGAGTATTTCCTTAAGTGTCTTTCGGCCGTTTTCGATTTCTCTGCTGAGAGTTCTCAGTTTAGGTCTGTAACTCAGGGTAGGGGTTTTTAAAAGATGCCAGATATAAAAGATTGGAGCTAAGCCAATGGGGGAAGAAATGAGCAGTGTTGAAGTGGGTGGGTTGATGGGAAGTGCTGGGTAGTTGTGCAGGCAAGGGGAGAGGAGGACAGACAGCACTCAGGTAGTCAGAGGCTCTTAGCCAAGGAGCCTGGGAAGAAAGAGGCTTTTCCATTCTGACGGGACTCCTTCCTTCCCGGGCTTTGGCTAAGTGGTGTTGCTAAACCACTGAACAATGACTAGGTGACAGGGATGGAGTTTTTACTTTAGATGCTGTTGTCATTATTACTATCATTACAAATGGGAGGCTATAAAATTGCATTTTGTTACTATCAATTTGATGATGAGACAGGAGTAACTCACTCAGCCGTTATTTATTGCCAGGAGGATAGCTCGGCGACAAAGCACTCGAGTGGCAGGTATAAAAGCCTGGATTTCTTCCCAGCCCAGAGAAAAAGATATTTCTAATAAATATTCCAAGCAGAGGCTTGGAATGCAGCTCAGTAGTAGAGCATTTGCCCAGCAAGAACAAGACCCTGGGTTCACTAATGCCACAGGGGGAAAAATCCGGAAAAAAAATGACTGATTTATCACTCACTTCTAGGCACCAAAGATCCAGCAGGAGAAAAATAATTGTATTTAAAGTACTCTATTGGTTCCATTATTAAGTGATTCACATGCGGTTTTTGAAACAAAAACATGTTTTGAGGTACTGTGGGCTGTCCCTTCACGCTCTGTAAAACCCCCAGTTCCCAGAAGCTAGGAGACTTTGTTATCAAGGCTTCTCCCCCAGGACTCTTGGGGAAGTCATTCGGGGACTTTCACCATTATCTTCTTTGCCAAGGTTTAGTCCATGAGCCTTTTCAAATATATTTAAGTGATCTCGGAATTTGGTCACTTACAGCTGCATGAGGAGGGATATTCCAACAGCTTCTAATAACCGCTCTCTCTTTCCGTTAGTCTTTTAAATGCTCTTGAATGTAGTTAAATTCTCCCACAGAAACCAACCTGAGATCGCCGTGCTATTTAATTTCTCTTCCCTTCAGCTTCTGTCACAGAAGGAGCTGCACACACAGAAAGGAAGGAGTGTAGAGTTGTCAAGGCTTCTTTTCATTAGCGGAGATGCCTGAACTTTCCACTTTTCACTAAAGAATCCATTCCAGCATGATGAACCATTACAAAGGTCAGCTGCCACTTGGAGTGCTTTCGATTGTTTACTCTGCGCCCTTCTTCACAATGGCCATTTCTCCGAGTTCCCCGCAGTGTATTTATTTCATAGGAAGCATTTGTTTTTAGAGACACACAAAGCCTCTTCTCAAGTCTTCCTCATTCTGGTCAGAGTATGGCTGGATTTCCCGTTAGTTGGAGTTTTTATTTAGCATAGAGTGGTGGTACACTCCTGTAGTTGGTGGCACACTCCTGTAGTTGGTGGCACACTCCTGTAGTTGGTGGCAAGCACATGTAGTCATGGCACACACCTGCAGTCGGTGGCACACACCTGTAGTCGGTGGCACGCACCTGTAGTCGGTGGCACACACCTGCAGTCGGTGGCACACACCTGTAGTCGGTGGCACGCACCTGTAGTTGGTGGCATGTGCTTGCAGTCAGTGGCACACACCTGTAGTTGGTGGCACACACCTGCAGTCAGTGGCACACACCCGCAGTCGGTGGCACACACCTGCAGTCGGTGGCACGCACCTGCAGTCGGTGGCACGCACCTGCAGTCGGTGGCACGCACCTGTAGTCGGTGGCACGCACCTGCAGTTGGTGGCATGCTCTTGTAGTCGGTGGCACACACCTGTAGTCAGTGGCATGCACTTGCAGTCAGTGGCACACACCTGTAGCCAGTGGCACACACCTGTAGTCGGTGGCATGCACTTGCAGTCAGTGGCACACACCTGTAGCCAGTGGCACACACCTGTAGTCGGTGGCATGTTCTGGCAGTTGGTGGCACGCACCTGTAGTCCCAGGACTTGCAGCGCTCTAACAGAAAGATCCCTTGAGCACTGAAACTCAGGCCAGCTGAATACCATAGCAAGTGTTGTTTGTTTGTTTGTTCCATAATCTGTTGTACTTTAGGGATAGATACATTTCCCAAAGTATATCTGATGTGTGTACGTGTACCACATGCATGCCTGCAGCCCACGGAGGTCAGAAGAGGGTTAGGATCTCCTGTAACTGGAGTCCCAGATGATTAGAAGTCACCAGTGGGTGTTGGGAGTTGAGCCCAGGTCCTTTGGAAGAGCAGCCAGTGCTCTAGCAGCTGGGCCATCTCTCCAGCCCCCTCTTTGTAGCTCCTTCCTTCAGCTTATTCCACGCATAAAGGTTCCAAAGGACCTGTCCTTATTCTTAACAGTTTCAAATACTATTTACTGTTTGCTAGGTGCATATGTAAAATATTTTAAACTTAAAGTAGTGACATCCCCACATCGTTTCCAAATATCCACGTTACAGAATAACTCACATCACATTTTCTATTAGAAATAAAACACCTTATAGCATAGAATGCCTGCCCACGAGGCAGTAAAATGCCCTGTGACAACATGACTAGTCTTTGACCTATGTTTCTCTCACTGCCTCTAAAGTCAACTTCAGATGTCCCTAGAGGATTTAGGATGGTCAATAGTTTCTGACTTCACAGTGGCATGAAAGCCCCCTGGCTTTTTGTACTGTGCTTTGTTTGATCTATCTACTCTGATTTTGATCTGGGCAGTGGCAAAGAGCCAGCCACTCAACCACAAGGACATGACCAGCAACACTCTGCAGGGTACAGTTGCTAAGCCATGAGTTAGGTGTAGTAAATGCACCCTCAACTTGCAACTCCCAGTGGATTTCCTGGGGATCCAAGACCATTCTAAACAGAAGAGCATCTGTGTTTGTTCTTTGCAGTGCAGTCTCCCTACTGCTGGGCTAGGGAGTACTGTGGGCCACGGTGTGGAAGAACTAGTAAGAACACTGCATGGATCTGCATGGATGAAAAAGACTAGTTTACGTTTGCCGGCTGCACCGTGTGGTTAATGCCGGTAGCGAACCCAGGATCCTTGTAAACAGGATTGGTAACCTTGACAGACCGTGGACCATCAGCACAAATAAACTGACCAAGCTTAGAAGAGCCTTGACTAAGAACGGCAGATGAAAATTTCCACGATCACCACATACATGTTTTTACCCCAAAGTAGGTACTTTATAGTCCGAAGTTTCCAGAAAATAGAAATCCTTTTAGGGAAAGAGTAAAATGGATTCCAACGTGAATGGAGTGTCTCAAAGTGTATTTTAGATGAAGTTTTGATTTCTTAAAAAGACCACTTTTCAGAAACTGGGCATATTGCCATACAAGCAGAATAAGTGAAAAGCGTTCGGGGGCAACCGTGGAAAATAAGGTGTTGGAAGAGCTCCCATTTCCTCAGGGACTTTTAACGCCTCCGCGTCTGTTTATTCTTAAATGATGCATCTAGTGCAGACAGAGAAAAGGCTCGATAATGCTAGTACCTCTGCGACGGTCTTCTCTTGGGTTTGTCAGGCAACAAGCGCTGCCTTTTCCTCACCGGCAACTACAGAATACAGTCCAAGTCACTGAAGGGTTTCCTGTTATCCAGGACTGTTGGGTGGATGGAAGCCGTGAAGAGATGTTTGGGACTACTTGATTAAACAGAAGGTATTAACAGCTTGGCCAAACCAAAGGGCTCCACCAGGAAGGGAAGAGTGTTTCTGGTGGCTGGAACCTTGGAACTTGGATATGTTTTTCTCAATTTAGGGTGGTGGCCAAACAGCTGGGAACTGTGCACGGAAATGGTTGGGATGCTGACCTCACACTAGAGAAGCCTCGGTAGGCTGAGCGTTAGTATTTCCGTGGAAGAAGGCTGGCCACACTTGCTGGAGGCTTCGCTTTAAAGCGTAAGGGATGGGGGGTAGGGGGTGGGAGCGGGTAGTGCAACGACACAGACAGAAACATTTTTTTTTTTTTAGGAGCGAAACCAGCGCTTCTCTGTGTTTGCTTGTTTGTGGGACTTCCAATATTAGTGACGAGGTGACTTGTTCAAAGCCCAGGCTGGAAGTTCCAGTCCGTTGGAACCTGTTCTGAGCCTCTCCACTAGTTTCTGCGAACTAACCCCAGCATAACTGCTTTGCTTTTCTGAGTACATTCGCAGTCACCACCTTTTGGAAAAGTGCAATTGTGCAGCACCACATTGGCTGAAGGTGACAGTTAAGTGGCATTTGCACAGCAACACACACACACACACACACACACACACACACACACACGAAAACCGGCGGGTCCATGCTGCCCTACTGCAGCCTGCAAACCGGATCAGGGGCGGCCAGACATCCCTCCGGGGCCACGCCCTGCTCGCATCTCCTACCCAGATTTGGGGCCGCGGGCCCAAAAGAAACTCCGCCACGGAACTTTAGCCACATCAACAAGTGGAGCGAAGCCAGGCAGCAGCCGTGAGTGCTTGAGGCGCCCGGTGCTAGGGAGGAATGGACTAGGAGAGAGGGTGGAGGAGAGGACTCCTCTGGCTGCAGCTGAGATGTTGTGCGGACATCCGAGCTCCCCGCCTACCTCTCTGCCTCTGGGACCTGAAGTTCAAGGACAGGCCTCGACAAAGCTGCGGTTCCGAGCCCCTGACTGCGCAGGCCCTCCCCGCCCACAGAAGTAACTTTCTCTAGGTTCATGGATTCATCGGAATCCCCGACGGCGTCCCTGTCCCCATCGCGCTGTGACCCCGCCACTCCCCCTCGAGGGCCCCAGTACCGATGCCCTGGATGAAGACGAAGCCAGTCACTGCGAGCACCGGGTGCCAGTTAAACTCGAGCGCTCCGCCGTCCCAGCCAAGCCCCTCTCGGTAGTGCAGGACCCAGACGAGCACGAAGAGCACGGACAGGAAGCCCACGAGCAGCGCGGACACTAGCAGCCCCAGGAAGCCCCGGTAGCCCTCCATGGCCGTCAGCACCCCATGCTCCGCTACAGACTGCGGAAGAACTCGGCGCTGCGGCCGCGGACTCAGGGTACTGGCCGGGCAGCGGGGCCGGGGCGGCGACTTGTCGGCGCCGTCTCCGCCCGAGGGGGAGGAGCTTTCTCGGGGTAACAGGCTGTGGGGCCTCCCGGGGGTGCAGCGAGCTCCGAGGCGGCACACCCCCCTCCCATACACACACACACACACACACACACACACACACACACACACACACACACACACACACACACACACACACACACACACCCTAGTCACGCGGCCGCTGAGAGCTCTGACCGCTACCTGGCTAAGCATCGGACCCCCCGGGGTGAGTCAGGCCTCGGTCAGTTCCTAACAGGGAGAGCTGCTTGGAGCTCAAGTCTAACACTTCCCTTGAATTCTTCCCGCCTCGATTCCTTATTTGTGTGGGCGGCAGCGGCACACTCTCTTTGTTACTAGAGAGGGAGCAATCCTTTGGATGCGGTTAAGGCCGTTTAGTTAATGAAGATTCCTGACCCCCAGAGGATGGAGAGAAAGAACTTGGGTAGCTGGTATGGGTAGCAGTGGACTTGGCCTTACCGAGTAAAGAAGCATCTTTAGAGCCAAGATTGATAGTGGAGTTCGCCTGTGATCCCAACACTCTGAAGGCTGAGGCAGGAGGCTAGCAGCAAATGTAAAACCAATCTAGGCTACACAGTGAGTTCCAGACCAGCCTGGCTACAGAAACCTTGCCTCAAAATCAAGAGAGAAGAGAGAAAAGAGAAGGCTGAAAGCGCAGCCGAGTTGGCAGAAAGTTTGCCTTAGCATACACGAAGACCTGGGGGCAGTTCTTAAGAACCGAATAAACGGGGTGCGCGGTGCACACCTGCAATCTTACCACTGGGAAAGTAGAGGCAGGAGGATCAGAAGTTTAATAACATCCCCAGTTACAAAGAGAGTTCAAAGCCAGTCTGAAATACATGCTACCGGATCTCAATAGTAAGAAAAATGAGAGAGAGAGAGAGAGAGAGAGAGAGAGAGAGAGAGAGAGAGAGAGACTGACCTGGAGTAGAGTGTGGTAAGATGGATTTAAAGATGTCCGCCTGCCCAAACTAACGTGAACCCAAACCTCACACCTCGGCTTGTGACATACCTTAATGAAGAGACCTGCCCTTCCAGGCAGGAACAGAGCAGTGTCAGCATTATGCATTTCTATCAGAGGAAAAGGGTTCTGGATGCTAAAGATGTAAAAATGCAGTTGTTGTAAAATGCAGATGGTGTGAAATGCAGTTGGGATGCTCACTCTGAAGACCTTTAAAAAAAAAAAGCTGCAGTGTGTGTGTGTGTGCATATCAAGGAATGATTTTTCAAAGCCAGGTTTTAAGGGCTGGTGAGATGGGCTCAATGGATAAAGGCACTTGTCACCAAGTTTGATAACCCGAGTGTGATCCCCAGAAAAAAGAGAAAACTGACTTCTGAAAATTGTTCTCTGACTGTGATGCTCACAGAAAACACACACACACTAGATGTTTAAAATTTAAAATAATAAGAAAATATAAAAATTATTTAAAATTTTTTCTTATTGCACTTGGGAGGCAGAAGCAGGCAGATCTCTGTGAGTTCGAGACCAGCCTGGTCTACAGAGCTAGTTCCAGGACAGGCTCCAAAGCCACAGAGAAACCCTGTCTCGCAAAACCAAAAAAAAAAAATCTTATTTGGATATATTATTTTTATATTATGAGAATTTTGCCTGCGTAGATATGGGTTCTACATGTATGCAATACCCACAGGGGCCAGAAGAGGGCATTGGATTCCCTTGGACTGTAGTTACAAATGGCTGTAAATCTCCATGTGGGTGCTGGGAACCGAACCCTGGTCCTCTGGAAAAGCAGTCACTGTGTTTAACAGCTGAGCCAACTCTCCAGCTCCTAAAATATTGTATGAGTTTTAAATAAAGGTTTTTAAATCAAGAAAGTGTAGTGTCAATACCCAAAACCCAGTAATAGGGCTGAATTAATGGGTACGAGTTTGAGACTGTGGCTTATAGCCGTGTGGTTATTTTTCCTTTGGTAAAAGGAGATTAAGCAAATGGAAGGACAGGAGCTATATCTTCAGTTCATGGCTTCCTATCTATGGTCTAGCTCAGCCTAACCCTACATTATCAGTGGCCACAGTCTGATGGACCCTGGATGTTGTTGGCTGTAAATCTCTCTCTCGGATCTGCCTGAGAACTCCCTATCCATCTCTCTTCCTCTACATTTCCCTGATCTCTGCCTCTTCCAACAAACCCTCCGGTCCTTCCAGGCCCCAGACTGTGCTCCTCCCAGCCACACCCCATTCAATGCCTCTACACCCCTTACAAAGATGTGACATAATTCCCCCACAGCAGTCTCTGCTCTCCAGACTGCCCTTTTGTCTTCTTTGGCACGTAAGAGTTATTCAGTAAATGTGTGTTAGGTGATGCAGTGTCTATCAGGGTCTTGACAGAGACCGGGCAGCATATTCAAATGGAGTAATTTGACAATGAACAGGACGACTGACACTTGTGAGCAGGACATGGGAAGCTACCACACTGCCCCACGCCTGCAGCAGAGAGGGCTACCGGAGTCCAGAGAGAAAGCTGGGAGGGCAGCCTTGTATGAGAGGAGCAGCCAGCTTGCAGGGGGCCCTCAAAGGAAAAGACCGGACGAGAGGTAACTATTCCACCTTTACCCTCCCTGCCCGTCTTCTCCAGAGTGGTCCTCCAGTGGCTAAGCAGAGCCTAACCAGATATCAGAAGATATGAGGCAGTTCCTACAGGTCAGCTCCCCAGGGCACAGAGCAGCGTGCAGGAGGCCCGAGCATGAAGGTGCGTTTCTTCTTGTGTGTAAGGTGTCCGTTATCCTCAACCAAAAACATGGCGGTTTCCTTTTGGCATAAGTAGACCTATTTTTACATTCCCATCTGTTGACCGTGCTGACTGGCCTATTCGCTCCTCCATTCTCTACCCTTGGCCTTGCCTGTGTCCAGAAGGCTTTAGTTTACAGAGAGATCCTCAACCTTCCTCATGCTGTGACCCTTTAATACCATTCCTCAAGTTGTGTGGACCCACAACCAGAAAATTATTGTTGTTGCTACTTCATAATTGTAATTTTGCTACTGTTATGAATCATAATATAAATATCTGTGTTTCCCAATGGTCTTAGGTGACCCCTGGGAAGGGTCATTCGACCCCCAAAGGGGGTCGGGACCCACAGGCTGAGAAATGCTGATCAATAGCTTTCCTTGTCCCGTGACCTCCATTTGGGTTTGGTGGATGGATGCTGTTGACAGGTTAAGGGTAGGAATCGACCTATTAGCCCCACCATGTCTCTTTGTTGGGTCATTTTCTTCTTCATCTTCCTTTCTGCTGGAATGTTCTGATAGGCTCTCTTCTGTAGCTGTGGTTCTCATGGGAGTGGCACTGCTCAGCCATGTCCCTTCGTCTCCACAGGCTTTCACTTCCTGAAGTCGCTCGTCTCCGGTTCTCATCTGCCTTGCTGGGTCGCCTTCAGTCTGTTTGCAGCTCAGAAAATACTCAATTTACTCAACCTTCTCACAATAAATCCTTCATGTGAACTCAGTGTTTCCTGATGGATTCTGACTAAGATGAATGGGGAAACACTGATCTGCGACCCGAGTCTCACCCCAGTCACCTGCCATCCCTGGAACCCACTTGGTGGAAAAGGAGAGCAGACTCTCTGCAGTTATCCGCTGGCCTCCCCATGTGCACGGGACACAGGTGCACCCCCAGCCTCTGTGCATGCAAAAATAAGTAAATAAAAATGTCAAGTTATATAAGGAGTGGAATAAAGAACTGAGAGCCAGGATCAGTCTCTCCTCCAGCAAGTTGGTCTAGTGTTTCTCCCGTGATGCACAGCTCACACTCTTCTTGTGAGTGGACGGACACGTTCAGTGGGACAAAAACCACAGATGCAATCACAGTTTCTTCCCTTCTTCCTAGAGATGTGGGGACCAGAAAGTTGTCTTTAGTACTGACAGAAGTAGAGGACCTGCCTAGAATTTGTGAGGTCCTAGGAATTCAATGTCCAGGACTAAAAAAGAGAGAGAGAGAGAGAGAGAGAGAGAGAGAGAGAGAGAGAGAGAGGCGTCCCTTTCATCAGTCCAAGGTCAAGTGACTCACAGCTGAAACTGGGTGAGGCAAGCCACAAGCCCGAGAAGTGGTCAAAGGCTCCTTAATGAAATACAAGGATTAATGTTTTAAAAACACGATGCTGGAACCCTGCTAATGGGATGACTATGCTTTCATCATAGGAGGCATATCAAAGACAGAAAGGTGGGTTATCTCTGGGAATTAGTCTACCCTGGGAGGGTGACTCCCTGGATCCACAAGGCACACCACATTCCAGAGATGAATAAGACTGAAAATAAGAAAATAGAGCTAACACAGCTTGGAACAGTTGCTGACAGAGAGTGTTTAAACACACATTCGTGATGACAGACTGAGGAAGTCAGAGCCTAAAGCCCGGAGTTAGCAAGGGTTAGAATGCCCCGAAATATGTTTCTTATAATCAAGCTCACACACACAAACCAAGTTTTATAAGACCATCGGGCTGTGTGGGAGGAACTTACTGTGTAAGGAATGGGGCCCTGCAATTAAGGAGAATTCCAAACCACGGCTACCTGTGGAGGTTTTTATTGGGGCCTTTCTGGTCTGCTTTATAATAACAGAAGTAGGTATTCTAATGATAATCCTCCCGTCACCCATGCATTTTTTTTTTTTTTTTTGGTTTTTCGAGACAGGGTTTCTCTGTGGCTTTGGAGCCTGTCCTGGACCTAGCTCTGTAGACCAGGCTGGTCTCGAACTCACAGAGATCCACCTGCCTCTGCCTCCCGAGTGCTGGGATTAAAGGCGTGCGCCACCATCGCCCGGCCTGCGCCACCATCGCCCGGCCACCCATGCATTTTTAAAGGGCTTTCGTAGGGAGCACACCTCAGAAACAGATTTCCAGAAGCTGGCCTCATAGGCCTCAGGGCCTTAGTGAAGCGTGAAAGGATCATGGGAACTCCGGCTATAGA